TCGTTGTTAGGAAACGTAGATGTAAGAACAGAGACCTCCGACAGAAGGCACTTGTGCCATTTGCTGGAAAACAGAGAGCTGGAGAGCTTCGTGGAAAATACTCCAGACTCAGAAAGATAAATGCAGACTCCTCTCCCACATGTGGAGTCTAGATTCATTTTTTTTTTTTGAAGGACATGGAAATAGAAGAGGTTGGAATATTTGGGACGTGGGAAGGGCCAGCAGAGGTAAAGAGATGAGTTCAATTGCCGCCTTGTGAGTGAGGATGAAGATGGAATAATGAAGCCTGTTTATAAAATCAGGGTTTTTTGTTGTTGTTGTTGTTTTGTTTTTGTTTGTTTTCAAAAAGGAAAAGGCTTTTAGAATCTAACAAAACCTTAGAAGCCTCGGTCTAATCTTGAACCTGGGGTTCCAAGGCCTGGCAAGACAGGAGCTGTTCTGGGGTACGAGAGCTCAGTTTACCAAAGAGCCAGAGAGACCCCTAAAGTCTTTTGCCCTTGTGCAACTAATTGTAAGATGCAGCAGGTGGAACAATCCAGGTCTCTTCTTAACATCCTCTTGGAAACCTGTGCAAGACACACAATTGGCCAGTAGGTGGCAGTGTATAATAAACAAACAACATCTTAATCAGAAACAAGGGGCACCAGGTCCTGGTACTTCAAGCTCACCACAGATCATCTTCACACTCACATGCTAGTCGAAATTCTGGTGACAGCACAGAGAGGATTGCAGGTCACCAGTTCTATAGGTCACCAGTTTCAGAGGCAGCACCTGATAGTTTTGCTTCCGTTGACTTAAAGCAAGATTTAGAGTTCCCGAGACCCAGGTTAAGTCTGGGAAGGCATCCAGCCTTTCCCTCTTTAGCATTTGGGTATAAGGAGTGGAATTCAAAGCAAAAAAACAAACAAACAAAAAAAAAAACAAAAAAAACAAAAAAAAAAACGTTCTTTTCCTCTTCATGGTCGTTTTTGTTGTTTTTAGCTCTCCCCACCTGGCTACCGGGGTCTCTTGATGACTCAGAGGAAACAGGGCAGAGACCCAGGGACTGTATTCATGTGCTGGGAAGTACGGTACAGGAGGAAGGAACCCTATTCTGACTGCCTTCCTTAAACCTGATCACTGTTTTCTACAGTACTCCAAGGAGAGCTGGAGAGGGGAGAGATAACAGGAGCAATTTAAAGAAAACATAAGAAGTGTGGAGGGACAGGAGTGGGTGCAGGTGAGGGGTGTGTGGAGGAGAGGTGTGGTGCAGGTGAGGG